TATGAAGAAGAAACATCAAAGAACCAAAAATATCTGATTTATCCAAATAGGCTGATTAACAATAAATGTCGAGACAGATGACATTCTCCACTCATTCTATTTCTGTTAAAGAAATGGAGGATCCTATCTTACATTTTATACTAATTTGTTTGAATCCTTGCTTCATGCTATGCAGAATAAAGGCGTACCAGAAAGCTTGTCAATTGAAAGCTGCTTGTGCTATATCCTCATCAACTACATTGTTCTGAGGGCTATAGAATCCCATCCATCTAAGTTATAGAGCAGAGGAGGAGGTTTTTTGTAGTCCTGTCCTGTTTCTGCTGTCCTGATACTGTAGAATTAGTGGGCACTGTTACCCTAGGTCAGGAACTGTGTTACTGGCAGAATCTCTAGGTAAGATAAAGGGCACTATACATAAAGAAAGAATCGCAGATACTACATCTAAAGACTGGTATGTTACAATACAGTACAGTTTAAGTTGTTGTTTAGATACATTTTTAAGGGCTCATGCACATGGATGCATTTGTCTGTACAGTGTAAAGGAAAGTCATATTTTGATGCACAAGACTCACAGCCTGCTGCCAATAGCCTGTAAAAACAATGACAGGCTGAATTAAAAACTGGCAATACACACATCTGAGAGGTACTTACATACTGTAGAGGGCTGTATGTGTACAAGGATATATGCCCCCAGGTGTGTGTTAAAGTGATACTAAACCCAGGACCCTGCATTCACTATATCTGGTCTCACAGTACACAGAACATGGAAGTGCAATTATTTTAGTAAATATAAACTGCTAAACACCTTTTTCTCATCAGCAGTTAGAGCAGTCTTGTGACTTCAGCAGAGCACTGGTTAAAGCTTGTAGGAGGAGTTTTCTTTCTGCTCTAGAAGGATGTGAAACCTCTGACTCTCTGTCTGGACAGTGCTGATTGGCCCTGTGCTGATCACACACACTCTCCCAAGAAAAATAAAACCTGTCTAGCAATACACACCAAACTGAGCATGTGTATGTGACTACGGATTTAGTCTGTATCAGGTGGTCATTTCAATAAGAGGAGGAGCAGAGAAGTCAGGATCAAACAGCCTTTTTACACAATGCAGAGGATTAACCCCTTAGGTTCCACAGTGAGTGTAACAAGCATGCCTTACTGTGTATACAGATTGATTTACTGTTGTGGGTTTAGTAACACTTTAAGGGCATACATCAGTGTACGCATACTGTGCTGTATATCAGTACCATTTTCCATGTCTGCACCACCTTAGACTCCTGGGCGCAGCAATACACCTGCTTTTTACTCTGTACAAGCAAATGAGTCTCTGTTGATTATGATGGATAAAACTCCCAAAAAAATGTGCATTTATTATTTTTTCCCAGAAGGAGCCCGAAGAGCATTACACCCATGATCAGTGGATGAGTGGTGCAATGCCAGACTCCTGCAGACAAGCCCTGCAGCTTTCAGCCCGTACCTTCATATGGGCTGACTGTTTACAAGCTGCAGTGCTTATGAATGAACTATGAGGCCATTCATCAGAGACCTTGCAGTCCATTCAGAACTGCAAGCCGTCAGCTGCAAAGGCTGATGGTACTTGTACAGTATTTCAAGTAATTCACAGGAAATTGTAAATGAATGGCATGGACATGTGGGCGGAGCCCTGGGAGGCTATGTTATTTCAAACAGTGTTAAATACAGTCTAAATACAAGTGGAACATGTTCCAAAAGGTGAACCTACTGTACCCTTTGAAATGAAAGAGTCATAGGGTAGATTGTAACTGCTCGATACATTAAGGGGAAATTCTGCTTTCCACATCCTCCCTCCTCTCCCACTTTTGTTTTTTTTTTTGGGGGTGAAGTGAGTACCTGGTTTTGACAGGTACCTGCTCCCCCCTATGCACGGATCACCTAAAAAATGAAAAGGTCAGTCACGTTTTCTGTTTTTCTGGACAGATCAAAGGTGATCTGATGTAAATGAATACAAACCTGTCTTCATCTTGCCACCCATAGATCCAACATGGATGAGGAAAGCTCCCACAACAGGGGCTATTAAGTGTTAAAATGTTACTAAACCCACAACAGTAAAATCTGTATATGCAGTAAAGCATGCTTGTTATACTCACTGTGGAACCTAAGGAGTTATTCCTCCATATTATCTAAAAAGGCTGTTAGATCCTGTCTTCTCTGATCCTCCACTTCTTCCACAGTCCTCAGTTCATTTGCTGATAATACAGATCCCTAGGAGACACTCTGCACATGCTTTGTTTGGTGTGACAATAAATAAAATATAGTGCTGTTGCTCTTAGGAATAAATATTCATGCAATTTTGATAAGTGTACACTGCAGTCCTAATTTGTGAACCAATAACACAAAAACAAACAAAATACCATGTGTACCGCGCATAAATTAAGAGCATTAAATTTGACTATACATGAGTAATAATGCTTCACAAATACAAAGTGAATAATTGTAACATTCAGTTCCAGTTCGGAAAAATAAAGTGCCCAAGTGTCGAATACTAATTGGTGAACTTTGTGCAAAAAATGACAGGTGCTCCTCTGTGCCCAATCGGTGTCCCATATGGATGTGCACTCACCATTAGCCGTGGACCACCTATCTCTGGGTTGGTCTTAAGTGGCTGGTTTGGGACTAGCCCAATGCGTGATGGCAAGAATGGCACCAATATTCATTCCTAGGAATCATGCGATCTGGCTGATAGTAACCAATAGGATGATGACCAGCTTGGATATAAATGAAGTTTAGTTTCAAAAGAGCCTTTATAACCTTTCTCCTCTCCTCCCAGGCAGTAAACCGAGTTTCAGCATGTGAACAGAAACAAAAGCAAACATCCCATAGTGTAAAACCATAAAAAACTTTAATGATGGGGAGAAATTATAAGAATAAAACTCACAAGAAAAGTGCCCATAACCTGGCACTCAGTGTATTCAGCCTTGCTGCCTGTGAATAGGAACCAAGATGGCCGCAGTGTTCCAACGTGCGTACCAAAGGACAGAAATGACGTCAGCAGAAGTTGTGACTTCAAACCACGACCGGATAGTCATCAGGAAGTCCTGGTCATCATCCTATTGGTTACTATCAGCCAGGTCGCATGATTCCCAGGAATGAATATTGGCGCCATTCTTGCTATCACGCATTGGGCTAGTCCCAAACCAGGCACTTAAAACCAACCTAGAGATAGGTGGTCCACGGTTAACGGTGAGTGCACATCCATGTGGGGCACCGATTGAGCACAGAAGAGCACCTGTCATTGTTTGCATGAAGTTCACCAATTAGTATTCGACACTTGGGCACTTTATTTTTCTGAATTGGGACTGAATGTTACAATTATTCATTTTGTATACTGTATGTGAAGCATTATTACTCATGTATAGTCAAATGTAATGCACTTAAGTTATGCGTGGTCCACATGGTATTTTGTTTGTTTGGTGTCTATCGCTAGAGAGTTTTTTTTTGGGAGGGTGCATGTGATCGGCACATGGCCAATCAGCACTATCCAGACAGAGGGTAGGGGTCATGCAGCCTCATAGGACAGTCAGAGGAGAATGAAAACTCTGCCTACCAGATTAACCAGTGCTCAGCTGGACATTGATAGAAGTCACAAGACTGCTATATACTGCTGATGAGAAAAGGTAATAAGAAGATTATTTTTACTAAAATAATTGCATTTCCATGTTCTGTGTACTGTGGGAGACCAGATATAGTAAATGCAGGGTCATGGGTTTAGTAGCAATTTAAAAAAAGAGTAACAAAATTGTTAGCAGGAACAGGATAGATCAGCCTTTCTCAAACTTTCCAACACAGAAGAACCCTTGAAATAACTTTCTGGTCTCAGGGAACCCCTGCTAAAAATTACAAGATCTACAACCTACAACAATGATACATTAGTGCAGGGTTTCTCAACTAGGGTTCCTCCAGAAGTTGCTAGGGGTTCCTTGAGCAATGAGCAATTTCTGCATCTTATATACGTTCCCACTGACACCGCTGATCTTTTTAGCTATCTGTAAGGGAGTAATTTTTTGCCAATATCCACAGGTATAAGGAGCATTCTTTCCACTGACTATCACACTAATGTATCATGAATGTATATAGAATAATTTTTAGCAGGGGTTCCTATGTGTTGAAAAGGTTTAGAAAGGCTGCATTAGTATGATGGTCAGTGGAAAGAATGCTCCTTACATTTGTGGTCATTGGGAAGAATTCCCCCCTTACAGATAGCTAAAAGGATCAATGGTGTCAGTGGGTATTTATCTGAGAGGCAGAAGTTGCTCTTTGCTCAAGGAACACCTAGAAACCTCTGGAGGTACCCTAGCATTCCATGGAACCATGGTTGAGAAACCCTGGAAGAGATTATATGTATTTTTTTTAAATAAGTCTGTCAAAAAAATGGAATACGAAATAAGAAAACACCTATCAGAGCTACAGGTAAAAGCAACGCTCAAGGTTATAAATCTGGGATGGTCCCAGACAGTGCTACTCTTCTGTCTCACCAGACAGAGGAAGAAACCGACAATGAGGAACTCTGCAACATTGACAATGAGGAACTCTGCAACATTGACAATGAGGAACTCTGCAACATTGTGTTGTTATGGTTTTGGAGTTGTATTCAATATGTGCAAAGAGAGATCACACAAAATACCGTATTTTTCACTCCATAAGACGCACCTGACCATAAGACGCACCTAGATTTTAGAGGAGGAAAACAGGGAAAAATTTTCTGAGCCAATGGACTGCAGAAATAGTACAGGAGATGACCAGAGACTGCAGACACAGTACAGGAGATGACCAGAGACTGCGGACATAGTACAGGAGATGACCAATGACTGCGGACATAGTATAGGAGATGACCAGAGACTGCAGACACAGTACAGAAGATGACCAGAGACTGTGGAATAGTACAGGAGATGACCAATGACTGCGGACATAGTACAGGAGATGACTAGAGACTGCGGACATAGTACCGGAGATGACCAGAGTAATGCGGACATAGTACAGGAGATGACCAGAGACTGCAGACATAGTACAGGAGATGACCAGAGACTGCGGACATAGTACAGGAGATGACCAGAGACTGCAGACATAGTACAGGAGATGACCAGAGACTGCGGACATACTACGGGAGATTACCAGAGACTGCGGACATAGTACGGGAGATGACCAGAGACTGCAGACATACTACGGGAGATGACCAGAGACTGCGGACATAGTACGAGAGATGACCAGAGACTGCGGACATAGTACGGGAGATGACCAGAGACTGCGGACATTGTACGGAAGATGACCAGAGACTGCGGACATAGTACGGGAGATGACCAGAGACTGCGGACATAGTACGGGAGATGACCAGAGACTGCGGACATAGTACGGGAGATGACCAGAGACTGCGGACATACTACAGGAGATGACCAGAGACTGCAGACATTGTACGGGTAGATGACCAGAGACTGCGGACATACTACAGGAGATGACCAGAGATGCAGACATTGTACGGGAGATGACCAGAGACTGCGGACATACTACAGGAGATGACCAGAGACTGCGGACATAGTATGGGAGATGACCAGAGACTGCGGACATAGTCGGGGAGATGACCAGAGACTGCGGACATAGTACGGGAGATGACCAGAGACAGCGGACATAAATATGGGAGATGACCAGAGACTGTGGACATAATATGGGAGATGACCAGAGACTGTGGACATAGTACGGGAGATGACCAGAGACTGCAGACATAGTACGGGAGATGACCAGAGACAGCGGACATAATATGGGAGATGACCAGAGACTGTGGACATAATACGGGAGATGACCAGAGACTGCGGACATACTACGGGAGATGACAAGAGACTGCGGACATACTACGGGAGATGACCAGAGACTGCGGACATAGTACGGGAGATGACCAGAGACTGCGGACAAAGTACAGAAGACCAGAGACTGTGGGCCTTTTGGGGAGCGGAGGGGGGGTGGAGTGGATACCGGATTTGACAGGTACCCGCTCCCACTTCCGTGGCGTTGTCCTTTCCCCCTCCCTCCCCGTAATCTTCTGGGACATGTGACAGGTCCCAGAAGACTACGGGGCCATTCACAAAGCGCAGCGCTTCTCGCACATGCGCAGTGGGCATATGGCTGGGAAGCTGCAAGCTGTCACAGCCAGGTGCCCATGCCGCCACCGGGAGAGAAGACTGAGCACACTGCTGGACCGAGGAACAGGTAGGACCGCTGGAGGTCTGCAGAGAAGAGCCGAGTGGCCGGTATTCTAACACGGGGGAATACTATGCCAGCCACGCCATATTTTCTCCATAAGATGCACAGATATTTTCCCCCATTTTTGGGGGGGGAAAAAGTGCATCTTATGGAGTAAAAAAATACTGTACTTATCAGTATAACATTTATTAAAAGTAATGACAGATACATATAACATTACTGAAAATATAACAAGGATTCTTAACTAAAGATACTGTTCGCCATGGAGTCCACTCCCCCCCATGACGCCGTTGCATAGGTGACCACAGACACATGCGGAATGCAGCTCTGACACGAAATGTTTCAAGCTAAAAAATGTAATATAAAGACTATGGACAGCCCACAGCCAAATCCCCTCGTAAGCAACAATATGACCTTTGACGCCGTTGCATAGGTGACCACAGACACATGCGTGTCACTGGCCATGACGCCGTTGCATAGGTGACCACAGACACATGCGGAATGCAGCTCTGACACGAAATGTTTCAAGCTAAAAATGTAATATAAAGACTATGGACAGCCCACAGCCAAATCCCCTCGTAAGCAACAATATGACCTTTTAGCCACTTCATGTCTGGACATTTTCACCCTCTTCCAGTCCAGGCCAATTTTCAGCTTTCAGTACTATCACACTTTGAGTGACAATTACTCAGTCATGCAACACTGTACCCATATGGATTTTTATCCTTTTTTTTGAGACAGGCAGAACTTTCTTTTTGTGGTATTTGAGCTATTTTTGGCTATTTCGGTATTTTTTGTAAAAAATACCGAAAATTAAAAAAAAAATGTTTTGCTTAGTTTTTGTCATACAATTTTACAAATAGATAATTTTTCTTCACAAATTTAAGCCAAAATCTATTCTGCTACATTTTTGGGGTAAAAATGAAAGGTATAGAGTCTACAAAATATGGGATATATATTTGAGAAAAAGATCAGTTGAGATCCTAAAATGCCAGACGCAGGTATGGCATATGGCAGTGATCAGGACCAGGGGTGGACTGACAACTCATGGGGCCCCCGGGCAATAGGAGATCATGGGGCCTCTATGTCCTTGCCCACACTCAAAAAAAGCCTATAAAAAAGGTACCAGGGGCGTTTCATGGGGCCCCTACTGATCCCGGACCCTCGGGCAGTGCCCGAGTGATCGAATGGTCAGTCCGCCCCTGATCAGGACGCTGGTATGGCAGTAACCAGGGCACTGTTATGGGGTAGGGGGGTGATCAGGATGCTGGTATGGGGTATATGACGTGATCAGGGTGCTGGTATACGGTATGGCGGTGATCAAAACGCTGGTGTGAGGTATGGCAGTGATCAAAACGCTGATATGGGGTATGGGGGTGATCAGGATGCTGGTTTGGGGTATGGCATGATCAGGATGCAAGTATGGGGTATGGCGGTGATCAGGACGCTGGTATGGCATATGAGGTGATCAGGATGCTGGTATGGGGTATGGCAGTGATCAGGATGGGGTATGGCAGTGATCAGGGTGCTGGTATGGGGTATGGCAGTGATCAGGATGGGGTATGGCAGTGATCAGGATGCTGGTATGGGGAATGGCAGTGATCAGGATGGGGTATGGCAGTGATCAGGATGCTGGTATGGGGTATGGCAGTGATCAGGATGGTGTATGGCAGTGATCAGGTGCTGGTATGGTGTATGGAGGTGATCAAGGTGCTAGTATGGCATATGATAGTGATCAGGGTGTTGGTTTGGGGTATGGTGGCGACCATATGGTGTATGGGGGTGTTTTGTGTGCACTAGGACAGGTGACAGGGGCTGGCTGAATTATTTATTATAGGCATTATGGGGCAGTGATCAGGAACACATGGGGCACTAAACTGGGGCACTGGGGTGGCTGGCACTGCAGTGTGAGTGTACAAGCAGCCTGACAGGCTGCTGTACACACACACTGCTGGATCACTTCTCTCTGCTCTAACACTGAGAGCAGAGAAGCGATCTTTACTTTCACTTTCATTGTTTACTATGTGACTGCTGTGATTGGTCACAGCAGTCACATGGTAAAGCTTCATGTGATCGCCAAAACACAGCAGTAATGTGATCCGCTGTGTCCGGGTGACACACCAATCACTGAGCTCTGGGGTGCGTGCTCTGTGAGCCGCGCACAAGCCATCGATGCGGGCTGATGTTCAGGAACACCAGCCTGCATCGGCGCTGCTTCCTGTCCGCCATCTATGTAGAATGGGCGGATAGGAAGAAGTTAAGGACTTGGCCAGTTTGTAATCACACATTCCTGAAAGGGGATTAGTGGGCTGACTTATTCATATGGTCAGCTTACAATTATATTGCTATGGCCTGCAGTCATTTAAAGGTTATTAGATATTTGTGAGGCCAACATTAAAAGGAAATATGCAATTTCCCCATGAAATCTAGGCCTTGCTGCCCACTTCAGATCTGAGAAATCCTTATACCAAATACTGAAACAAAGACAAAGAAGGAGGTGAGACGGCCTAGTGCATTATCCTAAGACTCTTTCTTGTAAATAGTACAATACAATGTACTCACAAAAGTGAACAACTGCAAGCATCAAATCAATCCAGCCATGATGTTGACACAGTGCCTATTGACAGGGGAGTAACTTACGTTTTTCATGGGCAATGCAAACTCAGCGCCCTCTTTCTTTGTCTTTGTTTCAGTTCTTACACAAAAATGGGCAATTTTATACTTGGTTTTTGCTGGAAATTGCATACGCAGATGTAACCTTATATCAAAATGTTTTATATGTCTCTCGTTCACACTAGCCCAACACTTGCCAAACGCCCCTTAGCGTTTGGCAAGCGTTGGTCCGGCGTTTGCGGAGCGTTTTTAACAGCCGCATGCGCGGTTTAGCGGCGGTTGCAGCAAAAATAACGGCCTATAATGCAATTGGTGTTATACTCCGCAACCGCACCACAAATACCGCGTTTTTGCGGCACCATAGACGAAATAGGAGGCTTCAAAGCCTCCTGACTCGACCAGAGGCGTCCGTTTTGCCGCGACGCGACGCAAACGCTAAGAACAGCACCATTGCTGTAATGTGCAGAATTGGCAAAAGTGTTAAAAACGCTTCTCAAACGCCTCTCTGCCGCCTGCACACAAGGCTAGTGTGAACGTAGCCTAAAGATATAGGAAGCTCAATTTATATTCATATATCTCTTCCATTAAGTGAAACCACCCCTCCCTGGAGATTAGGAGGAAAAAGTGTAGCAAAGCTCAAGCTCTACAAGATATGTACATTTTTATTTACTTATATTATTTATTTCAAATCGTATTTGGTATTGCACAAGCTTGCCTTGTAATCTCATTAGATGAAAGGGATAGTATTTTGATTTGTTGCATTTTAACTAATGCCTCATCTCTACGGTATCTCCACTCTTCAGAAGCGTGTTGCAGTCGGGATTAAGTGCTGAAACAACTAGTTATCACTGATTATTCTCTCACCATACTTAAAAAAAAAAGAGATTGCACATAATCACCTACAGAGTGTGATCTTTTTCTAGTGCCATGTGTCTTTTACTCCTTGAAAGTCAAGATCCTGTCAGTGTTGCAAAGTATCAACTGAAATCAACTTTCCAGACTGGTCAAAATGAAGGGAACATGTATAATCTCTTTTGACTGAAAAAAAATTAAGCTGGCATACAGAAATTAAAATGTGTCATATCTGGTTATTACAAAAAGTATGAGAATATTTATAGTGAAAAATGTTACCTTTATAATTGACCAGTAACATCACAAAAATAAGCAATAAAGGCAATTCCCACAGCCCAAAATAAATGTTCTTATACCCTTCAGAGGTTTATTGATGAGATTTCCCAACAGTGCTTTCCAGTTTTCTATTCCCAAGGCCATAAGGAAGGTTATATTCTTACAAGTAGACTCCCCAATTATTTGTTCATTCTGCATTATAGATAATCAATCAGAAGACAGGGATTCCATTAGTTGGCTTTGCAATGGCTTCAAGCAAGAACTAGGAATACTAGTGGAGCTCTAATGGTGCGCCTTAGGTATATGAGCTAGAATAGGTTTCAATCGGTCAGCAACCAAAGCTGTAAAATATAATGTTGGTTTAATTTTTAAAGTATCAATTTTTCATAATTCTCACTTTGACAGTTAAAACAAACCTATATTCAAATGTAAACTTAAAGTGTTACTAAACCCACAACAGTAAAATCAGTCTGTATATGCAGTAAAGCATGCTTGTTATAGTCACTGTGAAAATGGGGTTAATCCTTTGCATTGTGTAAAAAATGCTGTTTGATCCTGTCTTCTCTGATCCTCCCTTTCTTCCACAGTCCCCAGTCCATCTGCTGATAGTACAGAGCTCTAGGAGGCACATGCTCAATTTGATGTGAATTGCTAGAGAGCTTTTTTTTTGGAGGGGGGAGGATGCATGTAATAGGCACAGGGCCAATCAGAACTGTCCAGACTGGGGGTCAGAGGACAATGAAATGCACAGATAGAAGTCACAAGACTGCTGATGAGAAAATGTATTTAGCTGTTTATATATACTAAAATAATTGCATTTTGATGTTCTGTGTACTGTGGGAAACCAGATATATTGAATTCAGGGTCCTGTGTTTAGTAACATTTTAAGGCTAGAACAATCTCTTTGCTCCAATGGATAAATAAATAGGAGGACTAAAAGACCACCCCAACACCCCTTCCTCCCCCTGAAGGTTTTTTCAAAGGCTAATGTACAAAAAGTAGATCAACACAATTTCATAAACTCAATACAAATCTCTCAGGTAGGAGTAGGGCATATAGAATGAGTCAGCTGCTGATCAGGCATCCAGGTAGACCTTGTCATTATTGTTGGGATCCTTCCAGATCTTGGAGAGGCTCTGTGATGTCAGCCGACAGCGGACTTTAGCCCTCTGTTGGCTGAGTCTGGGTTACAGAAGGGCACAAGTAAGTGCATTCCTGTGACCCACAAGAGAGGAATAGCCAAAAAAGCTTTGACCATACTTCTCTTTGATTTGTTAGCCTTTCTTGAACTCTTTATTTATCCATTTCAGCTAGACTGGTAATGTAACATTTTGTAACAGCATTTATTGAGTTTAGATGCACTTTAACAATGACTTCCAAAAACTGCTCCGTTACATTATTACAGAAATATAGTGTGTGGGTGTTAACATAAAAGAAGTCAGCAGTTTTTTAAGCCCTACAATATTCAGTAGCCCCCAAATACAAAGCTGTATTGTGTAATATCTGACCTTATATAACTTGAAGTAGTTTACAAGTTCCATAAGTCCCTAAATTTGTTAACAGACAATGGTTTCACAGTTCATATGTTGAGTGGGGATTGGAGAATAGAATCATGTAATTGGAGCTCTAGGAAAGGGACTAGACGTTTTATGATGACCATTAAGTTTCTGAAGCATAGAACGCTGTTAGGAATTTTGTTTCATATTATAAATATAGAACATGGTCATTATCCTTCATGTGCTGAATTGTTTAACAAACTTTAATGAGGAGCTGCATGGTGGGATAAAGGGCCTGAAACAAGACAGTGACAAATGAGGGAAACAAGATCTGCACACAAGGGAGTTCAAGTCCACACTAGGCAAAAAAAAGCTCATTCAAGTAGCTGGTAAATAATGTTCAGGACTGTGAAGTTATAAAACATCATTACAAACATAAAGGGTAATTTAATTTAAAGTGTTACTAAACCCAGGACCCTGCATTCACTATATCTGGTCTTCCACAGTATACAGAACATGGAAATGCAATTATTTTAGTAAATATAAACTGATAAATATCTTTTCTATTCAGCAGTTAGAGCAGTCTTGTGGCTTCTATCAGTGTCCAGCTGAGCACTGGTTGAAACTTGTAGGAGGAGTTTTCATTCTCCTCTGACGGAGGCTGCATGATCCCTGACCTTCTGTCTGGACAGTGCTCATTGGCCCCTTGTTGATCACATGCAGTCAAAAACAAAACAAAATCTCTAGCAATACACACTAAACTGAGCATGTGCAGAGTGACTCCTAGAGCTCTGAACTATCATCAGATGGATTGGGGACAGTAGAAGGGGAGGATCAGAGAAGACAGGATCAAACAGCCTTTTTACACAATTCGGAGGATTAATCAGGTTCCACAATGAGTATAACAAACATGCTTTACTGCATATACAGACTGACTTTACTGTTGTGGGTTTAGTAACACTTTAAGTTCAAATTGCTTCTAAAATCTAAGCATCTTTTGCCTTAATGCATTCTATACATTTAGGTAAAAGAACGCTCCACTACCTTTTTCCCCCATCCATAAGTACTTAAGCTGGACAGTTTCTTTTTGTTCAACCAGTAGATTGACCAAAAACAACCCAAGAAACTGATAGATCCCTGTACCAATACAAGAAATGTTGATGTGGCAATCTCCCCTCTGTTCTATTGAATTCTGACTGTGGGAAGGCTCCCTGCCTGAATTCACAGATCAGCACTTGCAGTTATTGGCAGCAAGTGCTAATCAGGGGCGGACTGACCATTTGGAAACTCGGGCACTGCCCGAGGGCCCAGGGTCAGTGGGGGCCCCATGAGATGCCCCTGGTACCTTTTTCAAAGGCTTTTTTGAGTTTTGGCAAGGACACAGGGGCCCCATGATCCCCTATTGCCCGGGGGCCCCATGAGTTGTCAGTCCGCCCCTGGTGCTAATCGAATGCTGGCCTTCCAGCATGTCCCTTCGACTTCAGTAAGACAGACAGCAGTACGCATGTAATGAAAATCAGCCGGTTCCTGCTGAACTGGATGATTATCAGCCTGTGTGTACCGGGCTTTACCTGACTCCTCCACAGATACAGCGCTGTCCCCTCTGCAGCACTGCTCTACTCTTTTCACAGGAGATGCAGGCAGAGATCTATTCATTAATTGTAATAGTACCGTCTTATTTATGTACATACCGTATGTAAT